GGGATGGTGCCAGGTTTCCTCCAGACGTGACGCTAGGCAGGCCAAAGAGTTCAACCTTGGTTTCATCAGACCAGAGAATCTTGTTTCTCATGATCTGAGAGTCTTTAGGTGCCTTTTGGCAAACTCCAAGCAGGCCGTCATGTGCCTTTTACTGAGGAGTGGCTTCCGTCTGGCCACTCTACCATAAAGGCCTGATTGGTGGAGTGCTGCAGATATGGTTGTCCTTCTGGAAGGTTCTCCCATCTACACAGAGGAACTCTAGAGCTCTGTCAGAGTGACCATCAGGTTCTTGGTCACCTCCCTGACCAAGGCCCTTCTCCCCCGGCCAGCTCAAGGAAGATTCTTGGTGGTTCCAAACTTCTTTCATTTAAGAATGATGGAGGCCACTGTGTTCTTGGTCACCTTCAATGCTGCAGAAATGTTTTGGTACCCTTCCCCAGATCTGTGCCTCGACACAATCATGTCCCGGCGCTCTACGGACAATTCATGGCTTGTTTTTTTTCTTTGACCTCATGGCTTGGTTTTTGCTTTGACATGCACTGTCAACTGTGGGACCATATATAGACAGGTGTGTGCATTTCCAAATCGTGTCCAATCAATTTAATTTACTACAGGTGGACTCCAATCAAGTTGTAGAAACATCTCAAGGATGATCAATGGAAACAGGATGCACTTCAGCTCAATTTCCAGTCTCATAGCAAAGGGCTGAATACCTACATAAATAAGTTATCTGTATTTCATTTTTAAAACATTTGCAAACATTTCTAAAAACCTGTTTTCGCTTTGTCATTATGGGGTATTGTGTGTAGATTGCTGAGGATTTTTTTTATTTAATCCATTTTTGAATAAGGCTGTAAAGTAACAACATTTGGAAAAAGTCAAGGGGTCTGAATACTTTACGAAGGCACCGTACCTTGTGATTCAGGACTAGAATTCAAGAACACTACTGGTCATCTGTATGACTGATTGTGTGGTCCTCTGTAGCTCAGCTGGTAGAGCACGGCGCTTGTAACGCCAAGGTAGTGGGTTCGATCCCCGGGACCACCCATACACTAAAATGTATGCACGCATGACTGTAAGTCGCTTTGGATAAAAGCGTCTGCTAAATGGCATATTATTATTATTATTATTATTGACACTGTGATTTGTGTATTCATCCCCGTGTAAGTTAGGCCCATCTTCTATCCAGTATCCAGCTAACGGCATTTACACATAGAAAACACTTTTCACAATGAATAACGTTAGCCACCTTGCTAAACTAGCTAACTATACAGACATTCGAACAAACAAGCTAGCCATATGTAACGTTAACTAGCTATGTCCAGAGACCTTTCAGTGCATTATCTCCAGATAGCAAGCTATTAACAGCGCTCGCGCCCGTAGCAAGCTAGCTAGCTACCTTTCTCTGGATTTCCCACACGTTGATGAAGTTTTTCCCGAGTTGGGCTCCGAGGATGTACTCTCCATTCAAAACTGTGAGGGACCTCGAAGAAGTATTGCCGCCTCGATAGGCCAAGAGATTTGTACCCGAATGGAGTTCCAAAACGGCACAGTTCCATAGCTGTCCACCCGAATCAGCACTCAGAACTATTTCCATAGGCGCGGACATCTTGGAACAGCGCGCGTGTTGTTTTGGAAGTGAAGGCACTCAACGCATGCGCATCTACGTCATTTCCTGATTGAAGGTATGGATTCTGGGTTATGTAGGTTTATTACCACCTTTATACAGCTTTGCAACAGAAAGAATATGCGGCAATTAATGAAGCAAACACACTTGTGTGAAAAACAACAAAGTAATTGTATTGCTTTCATACTGAGATTGTGCTTTGGCGACAGAAACATACCTCACCCAGAATAATAGTAACAAGCTCATTAAAATAATTGTAAAGGAAAACAAGACATTGAAAAGAAACCAACCACCACCATTATAGCTACATCAATGTGTGTGTATATATATATATATATCATCTAGTGTGAAGTCTGTTAGGACTTTTATATATATATATCTCTGCCCTTCACACTAGATGATCAATCATGCCAAATAACAAGACCATGACAAATTACCTAATTTCACTTTAACTAGGATTTTTTTGCAAAATCAAGAGCTCTACTTTTGCATCAGTATCACCAATTATGGCAGGAAGTTGAGTAACATATGGAGTATGCAATTGTGGATTCCATTCAACTGTAGCTCAAGAAAATAATTTTAGGGGGGAAAGCCATTGAAAAGAAACAAACCACCACCGTTATAGCTGCACAAAAATATAAATGCTACATGTAAAGTGTTGGTCCCATGTTTCATGAGCTGAAATAAAAGATCCCAGGTATTTTCCATACGCACAAGAAGCATATTTCTCTCAAAGTTTACATCCTTGTTAGTGAGCATTTCCCCTTTGCCAAGATAATCCATCCACCTGACAGGTTTGGCATAGCAAGAATCTGATTAAACATCATGATCATTACACAGGTGCACCTTGTGCTGGGGACAATAAAGACCACTCTAAAATGTGCCGTTTTATCACACAACACGATGCCACAGATATCTCAAGTTTTGAGGGAGCGTGCAATTGGCATGTCCACCAGAACTGTTGCCAGAGAATTTAATGTTAATTTCTCTACCATAAACCGCCTCCAACATCGTTTTAGAGAATATGGCAGTACATCCAACCGGCCTCACAACCGCAGACCACGTATATGGCGTCATATGGGTTAGCGGTTTGCTGATCTCAACGTTGTGAAGAGAGTGCCCCATGGTGGTGGTGGTGGGGTTATGGTATGGGCAGGCATAAGCTATGGACAACAAACACAATTGCATTTTATCAATGGCAATTTGAATGCACAGATATACCGTGACGAGATCCTGAGGCCCATTGTCATGCCATTCATCCGCCGCCATCACCTCATGTTTCAGCATGATAATGCACAGGCCCCATGTTGCAAGGATCTGTACACAATTCCTGGAAAATGTCCCAGTTCTTCCATGGCCTGCATTCTCACCAGAAATGTCACCCATTGAGTATGTTTGGGATGTGCTGGATCGACGTGTAAGCGTGTTCCAGTTCCCGCCAATATCCAGCAACTTCACACAGCCATTGAAGAGGAGTTCCACAGACCACACTCAACATCCTGATCAACTTTATGTGAAGAAGAGGTCACGCTGCATGAGGTACAGTTGAAGTCGGAAGTTTACATACACCTTAGCCAAATTCATTAAAACTCAGTTTTCACAATTCCTGACATTTAATCCTAGTAAAAATTCCCTGTCTTAGGTCAGTTAGGATCACTACTTTATTTTAAGAATGTGAAATGTCAGAATAATAGTAGAGAGAATGATTTATTTCAGCTTTTATTTATTTCATCACATTCCCAGTGGGTCAGAAGTTTACATACACTCAATTAGTATGTGGTAACATTGCCTTTAAATTGTTTAACTTGGGTCAAACGTTTCAGGTAGCCTTCCACAAGTTTCCCACAATAAGTTGGGGGAATTTTGGCCCATTCCTCCTGACAGAGCTGGTGTAACTGAGAGGTTTGTAGGCCTCCTTGCTCGCACACGTTTTTTCAGTTCTGGCCAAACATTTTCTATAGGATTGATGTCAGGGCTTTGTGATGGCCACTCCAATACCTTGACTTTGTTGTCCTTCAGCCATTTTGCCACAACTTTGGAAGTATGCTTGGGGTCATTGTCCATTTTGAAGACCCATTTGGGACCAAGCTTTAACTTACTGACTGATGTCTTGAGATGTTGTTTCAATATATCCACCTAATTTTCCTTCCTCATGATGCCATCTATTTTCTGAAGTGCACCAGTCCCTCCTGCAGCAAAGCACCCCCACAGCATGATGCTGCCACCCCTGTGCTTCACGGTTGGGATGGTGTTCTTTGGCTTGCAAGTTCCCCTTTTTCCTCCAAACATAATGATGGTCATAATGGCCAAACAGTTCTATTTTTGTTTCATCAGACCAGAGGACATTTCTCCAAAAAGTACGATCTTTGTCCCCATGTGCAGTTGCAAACCGTAGTCTGGCTTTTTTATGGTGGTTTTGGAGCAGTGGCTTCTTCCCTGCTGAGCGGCCTTTCAGGTTATGTCGATATAGGACTTGTTTTACTGTGGATATAGATACCTTTGTACCTGTTTCCTCCAGCATCTTCACAAGGTCCTTTGCTGTTGTTCTGGGATTGATTTGCACTTTTCGCACCAAAGTTCGTTAATCTCTAGGAGACAGATAGCGTCTCCTCCCTGAGCGGTATGACAGCTGCATGGTCCCATGGTGTTTATTCTTGCGTACTATTGATTGTACAGATGAACGTGGTACCTTCAGGCATTTGGAAATTGCTCCCAAGGATGAACCAGACTTGTGGAGGTCTACACATTTTTTTCTGAGGTCTTGGCTGATTTCTTTTGATTTTCCCATGATGTCAAGCAAAGAGGCACTGAGTTTGAAGGTAGGCCTTGAAATACATCCACTGGTACACCTCCAATTGACTCAAATGATGTCAATTAGCCTATCAGAAGCTTCTAAAGCCATGACATCATTTTCTTGAATTTTCCAAGCTGTTTAAAGGCACAGTCAACTTAGTTTATGTAAACTTCTGACTCACTAGAATTGTGATACAGTGAATTATAAGTGAAATAATCTGTCTACAAACAATTGTTGGAAAAATTACTTGTGTCATGCACAAAGTAGATGTCCTAACAGACTTGCCAAAACTATAGTTTGTTAACAAGAAATTTGTGGAGTGGTTGAAAAACAAGTTTAAATGACTCCAACCTAAGTATATGTAAACTACCGACTTCAACTGTAAATAGTGGTAACACCAGATACTGATCCACGCCCATACCTTTTTTATAAAGGTATCTGTGACCAACAGATGCATATCTGTATTCCCAGTCATGTGAAATCCATAGATTAGGGCCTAATGAATTTATTTCAATTGACTGATTTCCTTATATGAACTGTAACTCAGTAAAATCTTTGAAATTGTTGCATGTTGCATTTATATTTTTGTTCAGTATACAAATACATTCATTCAAAAATAAAGAGTATGTAACCTATGAACAATATAAACACTTGAAGTGGCATTAGCCAATGCAGACCTGAAACAGAACACACAACCCTTCTTATTCTTGATCTTTTCTGCAGTGCCTTTTCTTCATCTGCTGCAAAATCATAAGGTCAAACTCCTCTCGCTCTCTGAAATGATTAAAGGGAAATAGTATCAGCAAAATAAAAACAAGCTACAGTCCATGAAATCACAAAAAATAACAGACAAATACAGAGTCAACCTCTCACCTATTACTGATGCCAGGCCCTTGTGAGTATTTATCTTCGGCCTTTACCAGGGATATGTCATTGACCTCCGAGATTCCATGGATGACAGCCTGAAAAGATCAAACTTGTGAGATGGAATAAAAGAAAGGACAGTTGGAGAGCATAGGATACAAAAACACATTTGAATGACATATAGTTCTTATTTGCATACTACTACAAGAACACTAGCCTGGTCGCATTTGAATGCGCATCACTGTGATAGCTAACTCTCACAATCGTTGTCATGCTCTTTGTGCATGTACAAATCTAGGACCAATCTGCAACAACACTCAAGACATTGATTCACCTCTGGTAAGAGCACTTCGAGGATGAAGCGGATCTGGTCTAACTCTGGCAGACTTTGCGAGGCTTCCACCATGATGCTCCTGAGGTAAGTGAAAACCTGCTCCACCTGATGGTCCGTCTCAAAGTAGGGGTCCACTGCTTGACCACTGGCCTTGTGGAAGGCCTTCAGCCACTTGGACACCACCTGACCGCTGATAATAGCCTATGATATGGAGAAAAGAGAAGAAAAGATGCCTAACTATTGCTCAGGGATAAGCTAAGTTTTACTCTCTTCTTCCCTCAGTTTACTAACTCTCTGACCTGCAAGTGCCTCTCCACGCCTCTTTTATCGACGATGAACTTCAGTAGTTTGTCGTTGGCCCGGTCCCGTGCAGCCTTGGCACGGTCAGGTAGCAGTCTCTTGGAGACCTGTGGCTCCTGGTCCTGGTCACTGCCCTCAGTGGTCGCATGGTCTTCCGGAGTCCCCTGGTAACTGCCCTGGTCCTCCATGTCTTGCCTTGGCGAGGCCAAGTAACTGTCAGACAGGTCGTGACGGTACAGCTTTCTCATAGGGATGCCTGGAGGGCAGGAGCACAAATAGGAGGGATACATTGGAATTGGCAATAATTATTATACAATGAACAATTTGCAATGTTAAACAAATTTTTTTAACTTTCACACTGGTTCATAGAGAAGAATGCCCCATTGTTATCAACCAGGGTATGCAGGTTCCTGTCAAGAAATGTTGCTCCATATCCTCATTCTACTATCGCCTCCTTGGCAAATGGTTTGTTTTGATAGTTGTTCCTGTCATGTCTGTGGAAGCTGCAAGTACCTGACTTGCTTGCTTGTAGCTAGGAATTGGCATTACATAGCAATGAAATAGGCACAAAAAATGACTTTGAACACAGGCCATTTAAAAACTTACTGATGTCATCAGCAACATACTCAATGAGGGAACCGGAAAATGAACCACAACCTGAGGGAAGAAATGCATAAACATTTGATTCCCTGGTCATTCAATTACATGCAGGCTTGGAAGTTCAATTGATTGAAACACTAGCTACCAAACATTGTGTACTGCATATCCAACTGAAAACATTGGACACAGAGTCAAACCCTAACCTCCTATGTTTGACGGTTCTCTTACCAAGGCGAATTCTATAGTCACCAATAAGCTTCAGGCAATGGTGGATGGCAGTACCATATTTCTCCTTGGCTTTGTCCTGTGAGAGATACCCACATTTCACCTCACATTCTCCATACATACGTCAACTGAAGTAACATATAGACAGTAGGTAAATACAAATAGCTAGGTTTCCATCCAATTGGTGACTGATTTTCATGCAAATATAAAAAAATCAGAGATGTGTTTCCATCAAATTTCCATAAAAATAACTTTTGCGGTTAAATTCCCATGTAACGAATAAAAAAATACAAGTTAAATGGGTTTCCATCACATTTTCAAGTCTACTGATGGTTTTGTCACAAATAAAATTGCGTTACATAGCGAATGTACCCACTCTGGTCTTGGCACGTGCGCCCTAGCCAACAGCTCGCAGATACAGTATGGGTAAAGCCTACATTATGAGATTATTTTGGACAAAAGAGCGAGATTATTTGTATTTGTCAAACGGCAGACAAGCATCGATTATCATGTCATTTGAATAAGATCCTCAATATTTATTGGAAAGGAGCATCAAGCTCATCAAGTTGCACTGTCACCATCCTGTGACGTATTTCATCTGTAGCCTAATAAACTGCATGATTTCCCGAGTCATACTGGGAGGATAACACAACATGTCATCGCGTGACTCCACATTTACTTCGATATGATGGTTATTATATCAATATTTCTCGCATAATACATTTTACAGACACGAAAAGATCTCACCTTGTCTAGCATATTTTATTTTTGTCGGAATGTTTACGGACAAATTTGATGTTTCGATCAGGCCTGTCGTGCTATTTTTACCTGACATGTATTTTACTTGCATAAAAGCTTGGATGGAAAACTGGTTATACATGTCAATATTTGGAAGTCAACCATGGCACATTAATTACATAATATTTATCATATACTTTAAGTGCAAGTAAAGCAAAATCTCACCACCAACTCATTTGACTCCTCACAGTCAAAGGGCTTGATATTCTTTAAGGAGACCTTGACGCTAAAGAAGGGTAAAATAAAATGTTTTATTCATCCGTCAAAGTCGTGTCACTAAATAAATATATTACTTACAGTTGAAGTCGGAAATGTACATACACCTTAGCCAAATACATTTAAACTCAGTTTTTCACAATTCCTGACATTTAATCCTAGTAAAAATTCCCTGTCTTAGGTCAGTTAGGATCACCACATTATTTTAAGAATGTGAAAATGTCAGAATAATAGTAGAGAGAATGATTTATTTCAGCTTAAGCCATTTTGCCACAACTTTGGAAGTATGCTTGGGGTCATTGTCCATTTGGAAGACCCATTTGCGACCAAGCTTTAACTTCCTGACTGATGTCTTGAGATGTTGCTTCAATATATCTACATCATTTTCCTTCCTCATGATGCCATCTATTTTGCGAAGTGCACCAGTCCCTCATGCAGCAAAGCACCCCCACAGCATGATGCTGCCACCCCCGTGCTTCACGGTTGGGATGGTGTTCTTCGGCTTGCAAGCTTCCCCCTTTTTCCTCTAAACATAACGATGGTCATTATGGCCAAACAGTTCTATTTTTGTTTAATCAGACCAGAGGACATTTCTCCAAAAAGTACGATCTTTGTCCCCATGTGCAGTTGCAAACCGTAGTCTGGCTTTTTTATGGTGGTTTTGGAGCAGTGGCTTCTTCCTTGCTGAGCAGCCTTTCAGGTTATGTCGATATAGGACTCTTTACTGTAAACTTCCGACTTCAACTGTACCTTGGAGCCACAGTAGGGCAGAACTATGCGAATGATTCATGTTCACTTCCTGCCTTCTTTCGTAAAGACCAAATTCCTTAAGGTTAGAGCCATAAACATACATATTCATCTTGTTTACATAGAGATCATTGGTTACAGCTAATAACCGCACATGAAAACAGCTCCCCAGTATCAATGATGTCTGAAAACATCTACACTTTCATATCTACAATCATTATTAGTATTACTGAAGATGCTCACCTCTTCCTCTTCTGTGTGAAAAGAAATGTGTCGATGAACACAACGCTGGCTTTCTTCTCTTTACAGGAAACATACATGACCTGATGATGACATGAGAAGCGAACATGTCATACATGCAAGTGTAAGTGCAGTCCCATTCCAAATCACTAATGATAGAAAGCATACTAGAAATCAATTGGACTAATGAAAATTACCATAGCAGGCCAGAAGGGGCAACGTCGATATTTACACCAGACACAGGCTCCCTTTGTGATGGACAGGGTTTCTGCGGTGCACAAAAATAAAATCATCCAATCTTTCATAACTCAGTAAACCAATGACACAATATCATACAGATTCCATATGAGAAATGCAGTTTAGAGACGTGTAAAACTAGCTTACTTTTTGGCGAAGTGAAACTGGGTAGGTCATCATCCTCCTCATCATCCAGACTACTGACATCCTGTTCGTCGAAGGCCACTTGGAGCGTTTGCAGTGGGTATGAAGAAGGTGGAGTAAGGCTCAAATCACTTGACACATCGGCCACACCTATGCAGGGACACAAATTTCACACGTACCAACTGTTTCCGATCTACAACCTTCAAATGGAAAATTCAAGTGTTCCTGCTTCCATTGAATGACATACAGTGCTTTCGGAAAGTATTCAGACCCCTTGACTTTTTCCACATTTTGTTACGTTAGGCCTTATTCTAAAATGGATTACATAAAAAAATCCTCATCAATCTACGCACAATACCCCATAATGACAAAAATAAAAACAGAAATATCTTATTTACATAAGTATACAGAACCTTTCCTATGAGACTTGAAATTGAGCTCAAGTGCATCCTGTTTCCATTGATCATCCTTAAGATGATTTTACAACTTGATTGGAGTCCACCTGTGGTAAATTCAATCGATTGAACATGATTTGGAAAGGCACACCTGTCTATATACAGTGAGGGAAAAAAGTATTTGATCCCCTGCTGATTTTGTACGTTTGCCCACTGACAAAGAAATGATCAGTCTATAATTTTAATGGTAGGTTTATTTGAACAGTGAGAGACAGAATAACAACAACAAAATCCAGAAAAACGCATGTAAAAAAATGTTATAAATTGATTAGCATTTTAATGAGGGAAATAAGTATTTGACCCCCTCTCAATCAGAAAGATTTCTGGCTCCCAGGTGTCTTTTATACAGGTAACGAGCTGAGATTAGGAGCACACTGTTAAAGGGAGTGCTCCTAATCTCAGCTTGTTACCTGTATAAAAGACACCTGTCCACAGAAGCAATCAATCAGATTCCAAACTCTCCACCATGGCCAAGACCAAAGAGCTCTCCAAGGATGTCAGGGACAAGATTGTAGACCTACACAAGGCTGGATTGGGCTACAAGACCATTGCCAAGCAGCTTGGTGAGAAGGTGACAACAGTTGGTGTGATTATTCGCAAATGGAAGAAACACAAAAGAACTGTCAATCTCCCTCGGCCTGGGGCTCCATGCAAGATCTCACCTCGTGGAGTTGCAATGATCATGAGAACGGTGAGGAATCAGCCCAGAAAAACACGGGAGGATCTTGTCACTGATCTCAAGGCAGCTGGGACCATAGTCACCAAGAAAACAATTGGTAACACACTACGCCGTGAAGGACTGAAATCCTGCACGCCCGCCAGGTCCCCCTGCTCAAGAAAGCATATATACATGCCCGTCTGAAGTTTGCCAATTAACATCTGAATGATTCAGAGGAGAACTGGGTGAAAGTGTTGTGGTCAGATGAGACCAAAATCGAGCTCTTTGGCATCAACTCTCCTCGCCGTGTTTGGAGGAGGAGGAATGTTGCCTATGACCCCAAGAACACCATCCCCACCATCAAACATGGAGGTGGAAACATTATGCTTTGGGGGTATTTTTCTGCTAAAGGGACAGGACAACTTCACCGCATCAAAGGGACGATGGATGGGGCCATGTACCGTCAAATCTTGGGTGAGAACCTCTTTCCCTCAGCCAGGGCATTGAAAATGGGTTGTGGATGGGTATTCCAGCATGACAATGACCCAAAACACACGGCCAAGGCAACAAAGGAGTGGCTCAAGAAGAAGCACATTAAGGTCCTGGAGTGGCCTAGCCAGTCTCCAGACCTTAATCCCATAGAAAATCTGTGGAGGGAGCTGAAGGTTCGAGTTGCCAAACGTCAGCCTCGAAACCTTAATGACTTGGAGAAGATCTGCAAAGAGGAGTGGAACAAAATCCCTCCTGAGATGTGTGCAAACCTGGTGGCCAACTACAAGAAACGTCTGACCTCTGATTGCCAACAAGGGTTTTGCCACCAAGTACTAAGTCATGTTTTGCAGAGGGGTCAAATACTTATTTCTCTCATTAAAATGCAAATCAATTTACAACATTTTGGACATTCGTTTTTCTGGATTTTTGTTGTTGTTATTCTGTCTCTCACTGTTCAAATAAACCTACCATTAAAATTATAGACTGATCATGTCTTTGTCAGTGGGCAAACATACAAAATCAACAGGGGATCAAATACTTTTTTCCCCTCACTGTAAAAGCATGTCAGAGCAAAAACCAAGCCATGAGGTCGAAAGAATTGTCCGTAGAGCTCCGAGACAGGTTTGTGTCGAGGCACAGATCTGGGGAAGGCTACCAAAAACTTTCTGCTGCATTGAAGGTCACCAAGAACACAGTGGCCTTCATCATTCTTAAATGGAAGAAGTTTGGAACCACCAAGACTCTTCCTAGAGCTGGCCGCCCGGCCAAACTGAGCAATCATGGGAGAAGGGCCTTGGTCACGGAGGTGACCAACAACCCGATGGTCACTCTGACAGAGCTCCAGAGTTCCTCTGTGGCGATGGGAGAACCTTCCAGAAGGACAACCATCTCTGCAGCACTCCACCAATCAGGCCTTTATGGTAGAGTGGCCAGCCAGAAGTCACTCCTCAGGAAGAGGCACATGACAGCCCGCTTGGAGGTTGCTAAAAGGCACCTAAAGGACTCTCAGACTATGAGAAAGAAGATTCTCTGGTCTGATGAAACCAAGATTGAACTCTTTGGCCTGAATGCCAAGCGTCACGTCTGGAGGAAACCTGGCACCATCCCTGCGGTTAAGCATGGTGTTGGCAGCATCATGCTGTGGGGATGTTTTTCAGCGGCAGGGACTGGGAGACTAGTCAGGCTCAAAGGAAAGATGAACGGAGCGAAGTACAGAGAGATCCTTGATGAAAACCTGCTCCAGAGCGCTCAGGACCTCAGACTGGGGTAAAGGTTCCCCTTCCAACAAGACATCGACCCTGAGCACACAGCCAAGACAATGCAGGAGTGGTTTCGGGACAAGTCTCTGAATGTCCTTGAGTGGCCCAGGCAGAGCCCAGACTTGAACCCGATCGAACATCTCTGGAGAGATCTGAAAATAGCTGTGCCGCAACACTCCCCATCCAACCTGATAGAGCTTGAGAGGATCTGCAGAGAATATAGTTGTGCCAAGCTTGTAGCATCACACCCAAGAAGACTGTTTTTGCTTTGTCATTATGGGGTATTGTGTGTAGATTGATGATGGGAAAAAAACAATTTGATCAATTTTAGAATAAGGCTGTAACGTAACAAAATGTGGAAAAAGTCAATGGGTCTGAATACTTTCAGAATGCACTTAGAATCTATTCGGCTTACTGGGAACAGTGACATTCTCTTGAGCTGCACCTAGACTTGTTTTCTGAGATGCACAACCCGTTTTTTCCTCAGACTGAGGCTCCTGTGGGGACATAAACAACACCATGACATGGTTGTTATGATGGCATTACAAACTCAAATGGCATCAAAAGCAAGGAAAATAGTGGAGAGCAATGTTAAAGCATTGAATCAGTTGCAGTGGTGACTGACTAGTTGTCATGAATTAAAATGATGTCTGTTTGTGACATTTGTGTCTAGTGTCATGTCTGCAGTGCAGAAGTACCTGTGTCTCAGCTAGCCTATACACAAGTCTGAACTTGGCTGCCCTTTGCTTGTGTGTCTCACAGCCATAGGCAGCCCATGACTTGGGACTGGAATGGCCTGAAGTGTTCTCTGGTGACGAATTGAGAGTTGGACTCTGTCTGGCCTGCTTTGGTGGACTGGTATCCTGATTCTCACTCAAATTCCTAGAATTACAGAAGCTGGACCACTGGGCTTGCTGGGTCCGCCGTCTCTGATGTCTCTGACAATTGCAACACTTCCTTCTAATCTTAGGGCTTGTGAGGACCTCGTTTGAGCTCTCATCAGTATCTACAACTGTCTCTTTACGTTTTGTGCTTTCCTGGTCTGCTTTTGTATGACTTGGCCTCACATTTGCTCGGATAGCGCGTCTCGCTCTCGTTTCTTGCTCTTCAGGGGCCGATGGCAACTGTTGGTCTCTTCCCTTTTCGGATGTTCTGGGTTCTCCTAAAACCAGAGTGCTGCTCGTCTCTCCTGAGGGGAGCATATCCAATGCCAAGCGCAGTGCTTTCCGGTATTTCAATTCTCTTATTGGGTCCCTCCTTTTGGAAGCATGATCACCTGCGCGAGGATGAAAGATACTATTATTGTTCACAGTCTTCACGAGTTTGGAATAAGAGTGATGTGGGAGATTTAATAGTGACATTCTATGCAAGCACACATTATCATATTGTAACCAATGATCACATAATAGCAAACAAATCATTGTAGTAGACATGTATAATCTAATTTGAACATGTAGGCCTACTGTCTGTGTTAGCATCTTTACTCTTATCTAATCCCATGATGTCCAAAATATCTGCCCTTTACACTAGATTATCAATCATGCCAAATAACTAGGCTGCATGACGAATTACATAATTTCACATCAACTGGTTGGGTTTTTATTCTTTTGCCAAATCAAGAGCTCTGCTTTTGCATCAGTATCACCAATTATGGCAGTAAGTTGAGTAACATATTGAGTATGCAAATGTGGATTCCATTAAACTGTACAACACATTGTCCTACAAGTACTCACTAGATCAGGGCCTACTTCTGAGAAGTCACTCACTAATCTGAAATCATATCTGAATTAGATTATGTAAACGGCAGAAAGTGAGCCAGGTTTATAATTCCAAAATGTTTATCTCTACGGGAAAAATTGAAGTGGAACCGAATGTTGGCTAGAGTAAAACCAATACACAAAGGCCCAGGCAGCTACAAGGAAATAATCTCTGCTTCTGATGGGTTGTAGGTGACATGGGAGGTGAAGTTGGACAGTATAAAAAATGTGTCCAACTCTGCATATCTGAAAAGGAAATGAAGCTCATTGTACACGAACAGAACCACTTCAAATGCCTCTAGTCATGTGACATGAGATAACTTGTGGTTAGGAGGAATAATTTACTGGCACTGGTTAATAAAAAAATATACTGTATGTTGACAGAGAAGTGTTGTATCATGGAGAAGTGCTGTGGGACTTACTCAGATGTCCAGAGATGCTCTCAATGCATTCTTGGGTCAGTGCTTGTGTTTCCTTCTGCTGTACCCACACTCTGCAAAACAAAATACACACTCCTCTAATGGTTATTGATGAATGTATCCATGTCAGAGCGAGAAGAGTACAGAGTTTGTCAATAACAAGAGGGGCCTACCTGTGACCTTCTCCCAACATTTCCACTTCCATATCTTTCCTCCTCTTGGAATTGCACACCCTTCTCAAAACCTTGTACAAGTGAAACGAGCCGTATGTGAAAAGGATGGTAAATACTGCACCCCTTCCCTCCAAAATACTGTACTAGCGATAGCTTTTATGAGAACATGTACACAGATTCCACGTGTTTACAATTCCATCTGATACTGACAGGGACGTGTGGTAATTTGTGTATGTGCACGTATCCAAAGGACGCTAGCCTAGTAATGTCTTTGCCTTACCTTAGCTGGCCAGTGATGGCCTTTCCACTTACATAGGAGATATTCAGATGATTCCATGTAACTAGCTAGCTAGCCAAAATCTGCAGGAAGACATAATCTCAATGTGGTGAGCATAGAAATAAGAATGAATATTATCATTCTTATTTCTATGGTAGTGAGGCTTTCATTCATCTGCGTCTAGCTATGACGTTTAAAAAATATTACTGGCAGACATGGCTGATATTTCATAGCGCAAACAAAATAACAAAAGACCTGTTACTACTTCCTAAAATGTTCCTTAAGTAACTTTAGTTTATTGGTTTACTGTTCCTTCGTTTCAAAACAAATCCTAATCACTTTCGCACTTGCAGAGGGACAGCTAACTACTGTAGTCTTCGTTATGAGCAACAACAAAAATGAATGTCACCTGACATACCACGAAAATAGATTTTGCAGTATACTCACTCAGTTGATTGATGTGTAACATTAATTTGTTTATCCACTCACCACATCAGCTAGGCTACAATTTGGTAGAAATTAGAAAGTACGGTAGCAAGTTGCTACTATCAGGGATAGCTATGAATGATACATTACCACATGCATAACATAAAGTCCCGCCATATTCAACTCTCGTCTCGTGGGCGTTGGCGTCATAGGCTGCGCACGCAAGGGGATTTGCATTGGGGATAAAGCAAGCTACCTGTAGCCACAGTATGATAATGAAAATGTTGTACGATAAGAATTAGATGGGGTATACAGCTAAGGACAGAATTTACTTTTCGTAACAGGTTCGGAGAATTTACACATGTATATTTTAGCAGACACTCTTATCCAGAGCGATTTACAGGAGCAATTAGGGTTAAGTGCCTTGCTTATGGGCACATGGACAGATTTTTCACCTAGTCCATTCAGGCAACCTTTCGGTTACTGGCCCAACGCTCTTAACTGCTAGGCTACGTGCCACCCCACACAGCAGGTTAGCATAAATAACATAGCAGGTTAGGACAATTAGGTTAAGGTTAGGAAAGGGGTTAGGGTTAGTTAAAATGCAAAAATTATCCCAGAAACAACTAAAACATTTTAGCTTTTGCCAATGTATGCATCACCTTAGGTGTATACAATCTAGTCACACACTAGTTTTACTATTGCCACCACAATCACAGACTGTGATGCTAATATAGTATTTCCAGACAGCATCTTTAGCTAGAGTGGTGTTATTTTTCAACAACTTCAGCAAATTGTGTGCTGTAAGTCAAACCTGCGTTAGCATACACTTGTCAATGCATCTGTCCAGACAGTACAGTAGGCCTCTGGCTGCTACCAAACCCCCTTGTGTGAGGGCCTGTAGAGGGCACTCCTTGCTCCAATACAGGAGATTCCAAAGCCCTAGACCATTATTTTCTATGGTCCCACGCAAGGCCAGTGATGATGGGGACAGTGTCCTGCAAAGGGTGCCATCATTCAGAGGAGGTGTTTATCCAAAGGCTTCTCTTTGGTCAGCATGGCTGGTTTACCGAACGGGCACACAAGACACGTGGCCCGGGGCCCCCGAGCTAGCATATGTGCAAACATTTCTCTCAGCCTTGTGGCAAAATGTGTAGAATAGCAGTAAATGTGTGTTTAGCTGATTCATAACAGTAATCAATCTGAAGGTGTAAATTAATTTGGCAGATGACTCAAAATGAATTCTTCCGCTGCTCTGTGTTCGCTACATACTTCAGTCTGAGACTGCCATCATTGAAGTTGTTTGTGGTCAAAATTAGGGATGTTGTACAAAACCAAGTCAACAGCGATTGGATCATCTCTAACCAATCAGAGTATCAAAGCCAATGACTAATTTTCTAAACGCCGATTTACCCACGTGTTCTGGCTCTGGCCCAACCCAAAATGTGTAGAATTGCAGGAAATTAGCTTTAAAACTGCAAAATTTGCTCTCAGCCTCATGACAAAATGTGTAGAATGGCATTATAAAACTGTCATTTTTTTCCTGACAAAATATTTTTTTTGTTGTTGTTTTTTTGGGGTTAGGTGCCCCCTGGAGGTAGGTGCCCTGGTGGCCCAAATGCCTTATTCCGGCCGTGGTGAACAGTCGTCTCAGATCATATCTAGTACTTGTGGCAAGTGTAGGTTCATTCCGGTGTTGTGGCCAAATTCCCAACCTAGGCTTGGCTCCTCACATTATCATCCCCAGCTCAGTGTGAACCCCTCTCCTTTCCACTACATTCAACAGGTCATTGTTGTATTATGAATGTTCTCTCAACAACAACTACCGGAATGTTCATATTTTTCCCATGTAAAATATTGGTAGAAGAGTATATACATTAAACTGACAAATGAATAGCCAGCTCCAAAAGAAAAATTGTCGGATAAGAATAATTTTATAGGGAGAAGTCAAAACAGGACAAAACAAGAGACGATCAGACAGTACTTATAAAGTACATTCAAACATTTACACACAAATAAATACAGAGACCTTTAACCTAAACGAAATTGTGCTGTCTTGAAATATCCCAAAACATGGACATTAAAATCCTAAGTATTCAATAAAATTATAGCCTAAGTAAGGGTAAGGTTCAACAATAAAAGAAGCCAACGTATATAAATGTAATGTGAAAAGAGAGCAATAAATGCAGCTGAAATTCATTCAAAAGCAACAAATAATTATAACACTTTTTGTCCATGACTAAGTCTTACAATTTTTGTTTAACAATTCTTAAAATATAATTGAAAAATAATAAAAAAGAAACTAAAGAAAATATAATCATTAACTGTTTCCCCAATTAGTTTCCTAACAGTAAAAGATGTACAGCAGTGATATCCATATACTATCAAGTCCAGGTCCCTCTTATTGTCTTGGAGAACAGTGTTCCCCTTGAATCGTCTTCGATGACCCCACTGGCTATGCATTATGTTCCTGGAAACCATGTGTAATTAAAATATTTTATCACATTGAGATATGGATTATAGACAGTTGCAGACAGTATCTATGAATATCGAATCAAACAAACTATGATTTATTATATGCTTGTTATGATCTTTGATTTATTTTCCACACTGCTAACACGGCCACTGCTTATAAGCCTCCATGGCATTGATTAATGATGCTTAGTTAGCACCCTGTGCTATTACACTCACATGTTATCAAATGCAGACTGACGCAGAGGACCACGGCCAAGGCAAGAATGCTAGTCTGGGGTGCGGCAACTCCGTCATCCAAAAACTCGAAGGAATGGTGGTCCTCCTTTTTGCACCTCTGCCTGTAAATATAACCATGGTTCAAGAAACAATATCAACACTCATAAAAGGTAAACCAGCCAGGCTTGTTTAGCTGATTTATAACAGTAGTCAACCTGAAGGTGTAAATTCATAGCAGCTCAGTGTAAATCTGTACCAGCTCAGTGTCACAGGATTGATACTTACAGCTGCTTCTGTAAATACAGCTTGCTAGACTCGCAGGCCTTGGTCTGGCTTTCGGCTGCTATCCGCCTGCTCTCAGCAGCTGAGTGCAAAGCCACACAGGACTCCCACTTGTGAGAGGCCTGTGTCAAGTTCTCCTGAAGGAATTCGATGTGCTCTGAAATCATAATAAGGCATAAAAATCAAAAACATTGAGTGACAGAAATAAAAAAAAATATCAGTGATTACAACAATACGTTTTGAAATGCAATGACAGTGACATTTAATGCTAAGGCATACTATTGGTATTTAGAATAGTTTGGGATGTTTTGGATGTCTTCTTTGATAGACAGAAATAGGACATCCCTAGTTCACATTATGCCTTATTAACTTATAAGGTAATGTCTGGCCCTGGGATTGCTTATCAGTATGAGTTGTGTACTGTACACGACTCCATGACGTCACTTAACTATTTTGGGAATTGTCTGGCAGCAAAGGGGTTTCACTCACATTAGCTGTGTTTTTCCAATTGTTGGTCATGTAGGCAAGAATGCAGCAATAGATTCTAGCTACGCTGTTTTTGACAGGGCTCTCCTAGGCAACTAAAATGTTGTAAATGTATTGCTCATTAAGACCCTGTTGATGGCGGGGTGCCTGATATTTATCAGAACAGGCATCTTCCCTTTCACACAATGTGTTATTTTTATATCGCCTTTACTCAAGAGCTTATAATTTCCTTCTCTTGTTCGAAGTCAGAAAATCGACTGTAACATTTTTTTAAACGTCACAACTACAGTATTTATTTGCATAGCCCCTTGGTTACAGCTTACTTAGCTCTGGAATACACTTATTATCCGTAGAGTTTTCAGGGATTAGCTTTGCCCACAGTAGACTGCGTGTGAACTACAATTCTGACGCTGTGTTTTAATGTTTAGAAACGTAAATAATCATCACTTGTGAAAGGTTTTTTTAAACATACTGTGCCTTCAGAAAGTATTCACACCGCTTGAGTTTTGTTGTGTTACAGCCTGAATTTAAAATTGATTAAATTGAGATGTTTATGTCACTGGCCTATACAGTGGGGGAAAAAAGTATTTAGTCAGCCACCAATTGTGCAAGTTCTCCCACTTAAAAAGATGAGAGAGGCCTGTAATTTTCATCATAGGTACACGTCAACTATGACAGACAAAATGAGATTTTTTTTCTCCAGAAAATCACATTGTAGGATTTTTAATGAATGTATTTGCAAATTATGGTGGAAAATAAGTATTTGGTCAATAACAAAAGTTTCTCAATACTTTGTTATATACCCTTTGTTGGCAATGACACAGGTCAAACGTTTTCTGTAAGTCTTCACAAGGTTTTCACACACTGTTGCTGGTATTTTGGCCCATTCCTCCATGCAGATCTCCTTTAGAGCAGTGATGGTTTGGGGCTGTCGCTGGGCAACACGGACTTTCAACTCCCTCCAAAGATTTTCTATGGGGTTGAGATCTGGAGACTGGCTAGGCCACTCCAGGACCTTGAAATGCTTCTTACGAAACCACTCCTTCGTTGCCCGGGCGGTGTGTTTGGGATCATTGTCATGCTGAAAGACCCAGCCACGTTTCATCTTCAATGCCCTTGCTGATGGAAGGAGGTTTTCACTCAAAATCTCACGATACATGGCCCCATTCATTCTTTCCTTTACACGGATCAGTCGTCCTGGTCCCTTTGCAGAAAAACAGCCCCAAAGCATGATGTTTCCACCCCCATGCTTCACAGTAGGTATGGTGTTCTTTGGATGCAACTCAGCATTCTTTGTCCTCCAAACACGACGAGTTGAGTTTTTACCAAAAAGTTATATTTTGGTTTCATCTGACCATATGACATTCTCCCAATCCTCTTCTGGATCATCCAAATGCACTCTAACAAACTTCAGACGGGCCTGGACATGTACTGGTTTAAGCAGGGGGACACGTCTGGCACTGCAGGATTTGAGTCCCTGGCGGCGTAGTGTGTTACTGATGGTAGGCTTTGTTACTTTGGTCCCAGCTCTCTGCAGGTCATTCACTAGGTCCCCCCTTGTGGTTCTGGGATTTCTGCTCACCGTTCTTGTGATCATTTTGACCCCACAGGGTGAGATCTTGCGTGGAGCCCCAGATCGAGGGAGATTATCAGTGGTCTTGTATGTCTTCCATTTCCTAATAATTGCTCCCACAGTTGATTTCTTCAAACCAAGCTGCTTACCTATTGCAGATTCAGTCTTCCCAGCCTGGTGCAGGTCTACAATTTTGTTTCTGGTGTCCTTTGACAGCTCTTTGGTCTTGGCCATAGTGAAGTTTGGAGTGTGACTGTTTGAGGTTGTGGACAGGTGTCTTTTATACTGATAACAAGTTCAAACAGGTGCCATTAATACAGGTAACAAGTGGAGGACAGAGGAGCCTCTTAAAGAAGAAGCTACAGGTCTGTGAGAGCCAGAAATCTGCCTGTTTGTAGGTGACCAAATACTTATTTTCCACCATAATTTGCAAATAAATAAATTAAAAATCCTACAATGTGATTTTCTGGATTTTTTTTCCTCAATTTGTCAGTCATAGTTGACGTGTACCTATGATGAAAATTACAGGCCTCTCTCATCTTTTTAAGTGGGAGAACTTGCACAATTGGTGGCTGACTAAATACTTTTTTCCCCCACTGTACACATTACCCTATAATGTCAAAGTGGAATTATGTTTTCCGAAATTTTTACAAATTAATGAAAAATTAAAAGCTGAAATGTTTTGAGTCAATAAGTATTCAACCCCTTTGTTATGGCAAGCCTAAATAAGTTCAGGAGTAAAGATGTGCTTAACAAGTCACATAACTAACAAGTGTTTAACATGATTTTTGAATGACTACCTCATCTCTGTACCCCACACATACAATTATCTGTAATGTCCCTCAGTCAAGCAGTGAATTTCAAACACAGATTCAACCACAATGACCAGGGAGGTTTTCCAAAGCCTCGCAAAGAAGGGAACCTATTGGTAGATGGGTAAAAAATAAATAAAAAAATGCAGACATTGAATATCCCTTTGAGCATGGTGAAGTTTTAAATTACACTTTGGATGGTGTATCAATACACCCAGTCACTACAAAGATACAGGCGTCCTTCCTAACTCAGTTGCTGAGAGGAAAGAAACCTCTCAGGGATTTCACCGTGAGGCCAATGGTGACTTTAAAACAGTTACAGAGTTTAATGGCTGTGATAGGAGAAAACTGATGGATCAACACAATTGTAGTTACTCCACAATACTAACCTAATTGACAGAGTGAAAAGAAGGAAGGCTGTACATAATACAAATATTCCAAAACATGCATCCTGTTTGCAACAAGACACAAAAGTAATACTGCAAAACATGTGACAAAGCATTTACATTTTTGTCCTGAATAAAAAGTGTTATGTTTGTGACAAATCCAATACAACACATTACTGAGTATCACTCTCCGTATTTTCAAGCATAGTGGTGGCTGCATCCTGTTATGGGTATGCTTGTCATCGGCTGTTGTTCCTGAGTGGCCTAGTTACAGTTTTGACTTAAATCGGCTTGAAAATCTATGGCAAGACTTAAAAATGGCTGTCTAGCAATAATCAACAACCAACTTGACAGAGTTTGAAGAATTTAAAAAATAATAATGTGCAAATATTGTACAATGCAGGTGTGCAAAGTTCTTAGAGACTTACTCAGAAAGACTCACAGCTGTAATCGCTTCCAAAGGTGATTCTAACATGTACTGACTCAGGGATGTGAATACTTATGTAAATTAGATATTTCTGTATTTAATTTTTAATACATTTGCAAACATTTCTAAAATCATGTTTTCACTTTGTCATTATGGGGTATTGTGTGTAGATGGGTGAGAGAGAAAATACATTTAATCCATTTTGAATTCATGCTGTAACACAACAAAATGTGGAATAAGTCAAGGAGTATGAATACTTTCTAAATGCACTGTAGAAGTAGCCTGTTTGACAGCTTTGAAATAATGTTAAACAGATGGGATGGCTATTGAAGACATTCACTCTGCTAGAACTTGTACTTAAATCCTAATTAGTCATCCGTTCGAACATTTGTAATCACAGCCTCAGATGTAAACTCATTTTTGAAGGAGCAATAACCAACCAATCATGTGTATTTATTTACCCTAACTAGGGTGGTTTCTATGGTTACAGGGGAAAATGCTGCTAAGAATATCGTGGCTGAGAAAGTGCTCCTTTCATGGTAGCCAATACCAGAGGCGAAAATCCCATACCCTCCCACTGTGACATACATTTTCCTACCTTGGTTTAGCATGATTTCTGAAGTGAGGTTTGCCTCGATTTCTTTATGCATCCCGATTTCTTTTTCCAGGACTGTAATGTTTCCACCCAAAATAACCTGTAAAAAAGACACTGGTGGTCATTGAGTAACTCCTAAGGAATTTCCAGAAGTAGTTGATACAACTTCTGTGAACATTGGCACAGTCATCCCAAGGAGTCCCTCCAATCGCATATTTGAAATGTTGAGTGAAAGCAGGCTTGTGCCAGCACCAGATTTGGCTATGAGAACAGGCTCTGAAAACATTCCTTTCATCCAGCGTTTTATGTGAAACAACACTGATGAACACATGTACTCTAATACAGTATCTACGAAGTAAAGAGGTTCAAATAATGATCTCATCAAAGACAATGGTGAAAGATTAAGACCTTTGTGCTTAAAGAACATGGACTGCTGCCGAAATGGCAACATTTTCCCTACACACTTCTGGTCAAAAGTAGAGCACTATATAGGGAATAGCGTGCCATTTCAGACACAGACATGGTGTCCCCTATCACTGCTTTATCTCTTCTTCCAGGAAGGGTTAAACTTGACCTCCCACCCACTCCCTGGGAAGGACTAGCTGCTTTTAATATTTTGATTGCTGCATTTGCATAGCATTTGCGTAACTGTCCACATTAAATTGATACTGTCTGTCCATTGTGCCTCTGGTTGTTATGTAAAGGCATAATGTGGCTTTTCGGTCTGCCATTTATTTTCACAAGCAATCATTTAGCATGATGATACAGTAACGTGTTTTCACTGAAACTATTCTAAACAGTCAAATGGATATGGTATAAAAAAAACATGAAATCATGGCCATGACCGTTAGATTAGGTTTGGATATCAGATCAATTTAAAAATCATCATATCAGATCAATGTAAAATGACAAAATGTATAAGGGCATCAGGTACAATGGAGAGGGTAGAAGAAGGAGAGAGGCAGATGATAACTGTGGCAGCCTGAGGGATTGAGCAAGTCAGTTCTAACCTCAGGGCTGCGGGAACCAGGGAGGGGAGTGGGAGAGGGGAGGGAAAGCAAAGCGAGGCAATGCAAACACTCACATTTTCCTGCCGACAGTCATCCAGAGACACGTTGGTCTGGCCCAGGCGCTCCAGGAGCCTCTCTGTCTCCCTGAGCTGCCGGGTCTGGTTGGCGCGGCCCTCCTCCACCATCTCCTCCAGGGCTGCCTTGTTCTTGGCGTACACCACCCTGGCCCCCTCGTGCTTCTCTGTCAGGGTCTGCAGCTCAGCTCGGCACTGGCTGGCACTCTTCATGTCCGGAGAGGTGGCCCACACCACAATGATGATGAGGGAGATGACCGACCACAGGGCCAGGCAGGCGATCACAATGTTGCGGGTGGTCTGAGACGACTTGGAGCTGGCCATGGTGGACAAGAAGGTTGTGGCGGAGGTGGTGGTGCTGCTGACGATGATGATTGTAAAAATTAAAACAAAGAATAGTTGTAAAAGGGCAGGTAATCCGGAGTGTTTCCTGTCCTGTGGGAAGTGTCTGTGTAAAGAGGCAGGAGGTTCCTCTCAGAGTGTGTAACTGACTGAGTCTGTCTAAAGGTTGGACTTCCCCTTAAACTCTGCCTCCGCTGTAGAGGAAAGGGGTGTGGCCCTGCCTCTCCCTGCTCTGTTGCTCTCCCTTTCCTACCACCCTGTTTCTATCATGCCCTGTTAGTAATTAAAAAGGAAATCACAACATTAGATACGAGAGAGAGAAGATATGAGCTGTTCCAACACACACACACTGCGTCGGCTGCAAGGAACACTATGAGGGGAAAATGAAAGTCAAAACTTCAAGTGCCTGGTATAATGTTGTGTTTTTCCCTGAAATGATGTGTGTGTTTCTGTTTCCATTTCTCAGTCACAGAGAGCTACCTGGCAGGACTCCCAACTCCACATAGAGCTGTTTGGTTCTTCAGCTATGTCTTATTTTAAACACTTTCACAAGAGCCTGAGTGCAGTGGCCGAGGCAGCGACTCAGTGTTTCCTGAGCTCATTCCAGCAGGCCCCTAAGAGACACCATGGCACACAGACAGACACACCCCAAACAACTCAGGCAACCCAGTTGCTACACTCTTAGAAAAAAGGTTTCTTCTGCTGTCCCTTTAGGAGAACCGTTTTTGGTTCCAGAGAGAATTATTTTTGTTTCCACGAAGAAGGGAAAGGGTCCTACATGGAACATTAAAGAGTAATACCTGCAACCAAAAGGGTTCTACCTGGAGTCAAAAAGGGTTCTTCAAAGGGTTCCCCTATGGGGACAGCCGAATAACCATTTTAGGTTCTAGATAGCACTTTTTTTTCTAGTCTGTCTGCCCCCTTCATCAACAAATGACGACATAAAACTGAAATATGCTCCTGTTTGAGTATGTAATCTGTATACCCGTAATAGATAATGGTGTAGTTAATTTAATTTTGGTTGTATGTATTATTTTCCTCTGTCAGAATCTAAACTGACACCAATGTTATGGCTTTGTCATGCGTGATTGATTTAATTATATTGAATTCCTCTGATCAAACACCCATCCAAGTTCCAGATGAAACATTCCACAGTAGTCTGAGAAAGGAATGACTCACTTTGCTTTTTCAGCTACCCTCCTATGTGACAATAAAAAAAAAAGGGCCTGGAAAGCACAACTTCCTCACTCTTTGTCCTCATGAACCACTTTGCCAAAACATCCAAAAATGGTGAGGAAAATTAAGTGGATGTGGAAATGAGATAGCTCTTGGTTGGATACTGAGTGTACAAAACATTAGGAACACCTTCCTAATATTTATTTGCACCCCCCTCCCCCTTTTGCCCTCAGAACAGCCTCAATTCGTCGGGGCAGGGACTCTACAAGGTGTCGAAAGCGTTCCATAGAAATGCTGGCCATGTTGACTCCAATGCTTCCCACAGTTGTGTCAAGTTGGCTGGATGTCTTTTGGGTGGTGGGCCATTCTTGATACACACGGGAGAGTGAAAAACCAAGCAGCATTGCAGTTATTGATTCACTCAAACCGGTGCGCCTGGCACGTCCTACCATAACCCGTTCAAAGGCACTTAAATATTTTGTCTTGCCCATTCACCCTCTGAATGATGCACACAGACAATCCATATCTCAATTGTCTCAAGGCTCTTTAACCTGTCATCTCCCCTTCATCTACACTAATTGAAATGGATTTAAAAGGTGACATCAATAAGGGAGCATAGCTTTCACCTGGTCAGTCTATGTCATGGAAAGAGCAGGTGTGCCTAATGTTTTGTACACTCTGTGTATATAGTATATTACAACACTCTATGAACTGGCATGATTCCAGTAGTAAGTTGAGTGAAACGCAAAATACCTTAAAAAATTAGAAATATTTAGGTATTGGTACAAAATAAGGAAATAAGGTTTCAAGCAAGTTCTTAGAAATGGTTCCTGAAATGTTCTCCTAGAATTCAGGGGCATATTTTCAACTTATCAAACAAGAATGTGCCTCGTAAATTGAGGCAATGGCATATAGCTGGAAAGATAGTCGATGGTGTGTCACAACAAGATACAGTATATGACAATGAATGGAGGACCAACAGACTGGTAGGATGACCATGGCTATCTGGTTCATACAGAGCTTCATTTAACTCCCAAAGCATTTTTGCACGATAAAATACACACTGCTTGAATGTCCATTTTAGTGACCAACTACTCTGTCGTGTCCTTGAAACTGTTCGGCTAAACAAAATAATGATGGAATGTATCTGTCTCTATTTTGGGCCAGGCATTTCACAGGAGTGTATGAGGAGAACAGAGGTTGGCCCAAACACAAAGAGAGGAGCTGCCAAGCCAATGCTGTCAGTCACCAAAGTGCATCTGGCAGCAAGCAAGATGAATGTCCCCACTATTGATCACTCGGTTAAGGGCTTTGTCACACCACTTCAGGATCAGGCAGACACAGGTAATCTGCTTTCAAGGCATTGGTTTGATGTGAAGCCACCAACACTATATATACAAAGGTATGTTCAGGCTACGCCCCTTAGTTCCAGTGAAGGGAAATCTTAATGCTACAGCATACAATGACATTCTAGACGATTCTGTGCTTCCAACTTTGTGGCAACCGTTTGGGGAAGGCCCTTTCCTGTTTCAGCATGACAATGCCCCCATGCACAAAGCAAGGTCCATACAGAAATGGTTTGTCGAGATCGGTGTGGAAGAATTTCCCTGGTCTGCACAGAGCCCTGACCTCAACCCAATCGAACACCTTTGGGATGAATTGGAATGCCGACTGCAAGCCAGGCCTAATCGCCCAACATCAGTGTCCGACCTCACTAATGCTTTTGTGGCTGAATGGAAGCAAGTCCCCCAGCAATGTTCCAAAATCTAGTGGAAAACCTTCCCAAAAGAGTGAAGGCTGTCCATATTAATGCCCATGATTTTGGAAGGAGATGTTCGACAAGCAGTTGTCCACATACTTTTGGTCATGTAGTGTAGCTAGCGGGAGAGAAGGGGGAGGTCGGAAGCATTCTATTCTATTGATTAGTAAAATATACATGAGAATTTTCAAGAAGTGCAATACAGAAAGTAAAACCTTTCTTACTGTTCTACTGTCATGTTGACATTTTTTTATGTCACAGTGACATTTTTCAAGTCTATCGATAAAGATCCAATTCAATGAAGTCACTACTAAGTTGTATGTATTATTTTCCTCTATGAGTCACAATCTAAACTAGACACCAGTGTTATGGCTTTGTCATACATGTTTGATTTAATTCCAGGCACCACAGACTAATGGGGATTTTTATTTTCTTTACTCTCATCAGCCTGAAACTTTACCAGTTGAAAGTATACATAAATACAATATATTATTGTATTACAAGTTTTCTTTATTTACAAATTAAAATATGCAAATGAGGCAAAACCCTCCTTTAATATGAGCTAATTTGCATAGGTGTCACACCCTGGCTCTGAGACTCTATATGTTGAGCCAGGGTGTGGATAGTCTATATGTTGTATTTCTATGTTGGCCTGAGTGACTCCCAATCAGAGGCAACGAGTGTCAGCTGGTTGTCTCTGATTGGGAGCCATATTTAACTGTCTGTCTTTCACTTTGTGTTTGTGGTTTCTTGTTCTATTTTGGTTTGTGTTAAACCGTAGACATCACGTTATCGTCTGTTGTTTTGTTCGTGTGTTCATTCATTAAATAATATGTTCACCTTCAATGCTGCGCATTGGTCTCTCCCTGACGATTGTGACAATAGTACGATAATCCGTTTTTCAACACATTGCTTCAAGGCTTTTTGTTTTTGTTTTATTGTGATAAGACACTCATTGGTCAGACTTTTACAGATCAGTTGATCAAAATATTGTCATTTCATGGAATTATTTAAAAAACACTATTCACATGTAAGATGGATGCATATTTTGCATAAATGTACAGATAAAATGACACTTACAATCAAAACAACACAAGATATCAAAAAAAGCCTCTGTAAAAGTCTGACTATAAGAACTAAGAACCTGTGTGTGGAATAATGTGAATGTACATCCTTTGAAGACTGAGAAAAATGAATTGGCACACGGGGAACATGTCATTTTGAGAAAATGGCCGATAAAGATAGGCTAATGCAATTAAAATGTACTTTCCATAAATATGACCATTTATGTCACATTAATTAAACTCTTATTCATATATCACTTCTAAACTGACAAATAAATATCAAATATACCTTTTACCAATACATTAGCATGTTTAATACATTTGTTTTAAGTAATAGACCATATGCTTTGAATACTGGTCTGTTGGGAAAATATGCAGTTTTGGGCAAATTCTCATATCACTTTGCTCAATTTGTCACATACAAGGATTTTGTATGGCTGTTGAAATGTGCAGAACATTAATCAGTTATGCCTGCCCCATATGGAAGGCCCTTTGAGTTGTTGCTGGTGCCGCTTTACTTCTTGACTGTGTCATGGGACCTGCCCCTACGCTTGTCACACTCCATTGAAGCAGCATCAGCTCTCACAACTCCTCTCTGATTGCTCCCACTGTCACCAAAGTGCTGCCAAGACACAATTTGTCCATCACATTTGATATAGCAGTGGCTCCCTCATTGAGCGTGGCTACTGCCATACTATACTGGCTGCTGCGTCAATGCGTCTTTTGCCCACGAAGACAGTTTTGGGGCATCGCGACCATATTACAGAGTTCAGACATTCATTTGAATTCTGGGTTCCTCCGTGCTACATTCTTTTAAGAAGGTTATCATTTGACATCCTATGATATACAGGTACCATTTTCTGTGCAACCTCTCTTAAAAAATGTATGGGCTCCATGGTTTTTGTGACTGGGTGGATCTTCTCCATTTTCTAGGGCTCGCTGGTACCAGCACCAATGCACACACCTATCCCGTAGTTGGAAATTAATCCTCTCTTGTGCCAAGTGCCATCAAAGGATACATGAATGTCTATGATGGCATCCTCATCCTCCTTCAGCAACTTTGCTATGTCTGGGTCTATATCTGCGTATGCTCTTCTAACTAGCTTTGCAGCACTCTCCATTGACTGTACCCCTCTCTGAATCTCTGCAACTAAAGTATGTCTGTTGACAATACAGTCATAACTGCAGGACTAAATATCAGCATGTTACCCTATGTAAATATTAGCATATCAGCATGTATTTACTTTATGTAAAGCTAATTTCTCATTAATCACATTAGGCTACAGCCCTATGACACTGTAGGCCTATGTTACAGTCTCATTGTATAGTTATGTTTTCCTATCACTGATTTATTCACTTTGAATATATTTGCTGGAGCAAGGAAATAAATATTATTTATACACAGCAAGTCACCTGACAATAATGGGCTACTCTCCCTTTTCGTTTACCTATCATGTCTCTGATATGAGCTGAGACACAAGGAAGGAATCCCTAGGATTTAGCTTATTTTCTGTAGAGCTGCATAACCATGTCCAAGTTCGTGGGCTAGAAGAACCATCATCACATTTATATCAAATGCCACATCTCCCCTGGAGCACTCCTGCAGCCTGGAGGAAGTGTAAACACTTCTTCCAAATACATCACGATCACCTTCACAGTGTGCATGTTCTATCATGACAGAATTACAGAATCCCTGGTTGGTGGGGTCTATGGTGATTTACAGTCCAGTGTTTAGACACTTACAGCAAATCATGTACATGTTGGTTTATTTGTGACATGTGGATAAAAGCCACCGTTGGCTGCTGCTATCTGGTTGATCGCTGCTAGCTGTCATTTTCATCTCAACTAATTTGCCTCTCGATGCGCTGCTGCCGGCTACCTCCTTTTCCTCATCTACCTGTACAGCTACTGCCTCGATCGGCTGATCAGGCATATATTTTATTTCACTCAATGCTTTTCTCGCATTGACTAACTGAGATCGCCTATTTTTATTCACATACTGTAGGTATATTGTTCGAGATTTTCTAATTTTGTCTCTCTTTACGTGGATTTTTCGAGGGAGGTATTTTCAGACAAGGAAGTACTGCGCAGCACGTGAGGAATTTTAACCAATCAGGTTGCCGGAAAGGGCCTTTAAATGCCAGTAACCAATCGGATGTCAGGAAATTACTCATCTTTCAGCACGAAGCACTACGTCTACGAAGGATATAGCCATGTATGGACTAGCTAACGACATGCTCCGGAAAACAAGGTTTTGAATGATACATGATTCAACATGGAAAGTTTAAACAAATAACGGTTGAAGTTCTACATGAAACATGCTAACAAGAACGACATTTATGGTAGGTATAGTTGACGGTGTTGGGATAAAATGATACAAATCAAGTATTTATATACATTATTGCCGATTCATTTGTACATTTTATGAAAGTATGCCAAAATCTGAAAATTGACAGATGGAAGCAAAATCACAATTTTTGCCAGTGGTGCCTGGCATTCATTTATATTGAATTCTTATTGTCATATAGGAGAAATGAGTTGTGCGTTGGTAGGGGGGTGTTGTTTGCGTTTCACCCATGGAGCTCTGGCCTTCCAGCGACGTCATTTAAAAGAGGCCCCAAAATAATATAGTCCCACACTGTTTTGGAGCAGAGTGCTTTTTGTGTTATTCCCTTCGGCAAGGACAGGGAACCACACTGCAATACACAGTATTGTCAACAAATTTAACTTCATACAACAGCAGCACATACTCTCCTCTTTATCAGCCACTTATTTTCAATGTTATGGTGATATACTGCCATCTAGCGATTAAACTTCAAGGAAGTGTTTGCAAACCAAATTTATCCAATAGAAAACAACATGATCTTGTACAAAATTTTAGCTCTATTTTCTTTTTTGCTGGGATATATTCTGTGGAAAGAGTGCTATATGAGACTGGCCAAGAACTGAAAACACTATACAGATGTAGGATCTTAATTTGAGCCATTTTGCTAAAGCAGGAAAATAATCCTGCAGCAACAGGAAATGTAAATTATTATGTGGATTATAATGAATATACATTTTTGTAGGGGTTGATACATTTTTCGTTAAGGCAAATGAAGTCTAACATTTCAAAGTGGAAATTACATGCTTTAGAAGCCTTTTTAAACCTCAAATACATTACAATTTTGCATTTCCTGCTGTGCAGGAAAATTCTCAGCAACAAAAGAGTAATCAAATGAAGATCCTACATCTGTAGTGGTGGTGTCTTTAGTTTAATGCAAAGCAACCACTTAACATATGAATAAAACTTAGGCTTTTCACCTATCCCATGTAATCGGAACAATAACAATGATGTAAATAGCAACGTAATTAGCAACGCTACTGAACTAACTTTCAATCAAGGCGTAAAGACAGATTATTTCTAGCAATTCAATAACATATTCAAGATGTAGGCTGAATCAGGCATGTTATGTTATTCTTATCATTGAGCTTCGTCATTCTGTAGCTGAGTGGAATGGATAACTAGTCATCATACATGATGGTTATATGAACAGCATAGAACAATATATACAGTATATGAGGCAGAGAGAGGGCTAAACAAAGTGGCATAGACGGGCAATACCACTACCATGCAGGGGGGTCTCCGCCACTTGGTTCCTCACTTGGTCTAGTCGTGCTACTCTTGGTCGTTGTCGTTGGCTTCATGAAAGTAGTTGTCTGCGAATCGGAGCATCTGGATCAGGGCGCTGAGGAGCAGGATGTCACAGCTCATGCCCAGCTCCAGCTCTTCATTGTAGTTCTTGACTGGGACAATGCAGGACATGGGCACCCCCAGATGGCCGCTCACCTCCTGGGCCTACGGGAGTCGAGACACACCAAATGCTACTAAAATATTACCCACACGTTCATGATCATCTAATTCAGCGGGGGAGTTCAGAGCTCACCTTGGCCTTTATGTACTGGCTGTTGTACACGTTCCTCAAGTTGTCGGCCACACAGGGACAGGCCTCATCCACCTTGGTCAGAAGAACCAGCTGTGGGATACCTGTGGAACAACAACCCTCCATTGGTGTCAATAACCAGGGATTTAGACAGTAGTTTGTATAATCTATAACCTTTAACCCAGGTGTGTCTCTCTCTGACTGACTGACCTAGCAGGTTGATCCTCCTGTGAATGGCTGCCAGTTTCTCCTCCAGTTTGGTGGACATGATGGAGACTTTGCAGGTGTCCATCACGTACGCCACCCAGTGGATCCTGTCCTGCAGGTTCACAGACTGCCGGAACCCGTGGGCATCCGCTTGCAGTGGGGACAGTGCATGATCAATTTGTCCACATAAATATGGTGTCATGCATTCAAATTGTTGTAGCAGAAACACAAAAAGATGAAAACCAGTTGGTTAACATGGTAGACCAGTGGTTCCCAAAATGGGGTCCAGATCTCCAAATATTTTACACAAATAATAATTGTACATTTTTAAAATTGTTTTATGAATATTGCTAGAAACAACAGACTGTACGAATGTTGGACAAGGGATGGATCTGTGGAAAAAGTTTAGAGGGTGCAATACAATACAATGTAATGCTACTCATCCACAATTTGTTCTGAACTCTTTGAGATGCACAACATGGGCATGGGAGGCTCACAGGGATATTGGTATCCACAGTACTCCATCAATGATCTTTTTTTTCTTCTTGTGTCCCCCCAAAAATGTTCTTCCTGCCACATGGCAGAATGTGTATAATTGCAAGAAATAGTTGGAAAACTGCTACATTTTCTGTCTGCCCCAATGCAAAATATGTAAAACTGCAGGAAATTAGCTTGACAAATTCCAACTTTTCTCTCTGATGCCAAGATGGGGCCTTTAACATTTTATTTCCCAGGGCCTGAGACTTGATTATTCAGGCCATGCACTGCAGAAGTCATAGTAAAACTGCCTGTATGCTATTTCTATCGCACTATAAAGCAAGACTTGTGTTCTGATATTATGAGGGGTCTAATGAACTTTCACAAAAGGGGTCCCTGATGCAAAAAAAGTTTGGGAACCCCTGTGGTATACCACATAACTGGGTGGTCAGACTGGTGCCAGAGCTGCCCGATATGGCCTGGCTGGTCACATGGCCACGGAAGATGGAGTTGAAAAAGCTTGACTTTCCCGCACCGACGGGACCGATGAGTATAACTCTGGCCTGACCCACAGAACTGATCATGGGTCTGTAGAGCTTAACAGGCTCCATCAGTGCCTTTCTTCTCCTGTGGAAAACAAGAACTAACCTATGAATGAACTATGCAAATACTTTCATGTACTGTATTCATCCACATTATAACATTCAGTGTATATATGGCTCATGTGAGAATCAAGTAATCAACAAAGGCATTACTGCATCACAAAACAATAATATTTGGGTAATTTATGGGTGAAGCTTACTCAGCTTTCCAAAGAATGGGCCTCCATGGCTTTTCTGTCGTGACGTGACTTATATTAATATGTATGACTGTTTATCGAATCAAATAACTATGTTTAATTGTCACTCGATTAAATTAATCATGTAACAATTAACTCATTAGGAATTTGGGGCACCACAGAAGAAGTTGTTTAACAAGTTACCATCTCCCGAATTAAACTCTTAGAAGATATATATGTTTTGTATCGATAACAGTCACTTATTAAATAATTACCTCTTATCAGTCTCATTCTGAATGTCGCATAATCCTTGAACCTGCAAGAACCCTAACCTTATGGATGAATCAGCAATACACATTTTAGGCATTTAGCAGACGCTCTTATCCAGAGCGACTTACAGTTAGTGAATGCATGTTTTTTTGTTTTTTTCATACTGGCCCCTCCGTGGGAAACGAACCCATGCTGAACCAATTGTGCGCCGCCCATCGGTCTCCCGGTCGCGGCCGGCTGCGACAGAGCCTGGACTCGAACCAGGATCTCTAGTGGCACAGCTAGCACTGCGATGCAGTGCCTTAGACCACTGTGCCACTCGGGAGTCAAATTGGCTTAATTATTTATTTACTAACTAACTAAATAATAACACAATACAAACACACACACACACACACACACACACATAGGTTATTGATTACTAACACAATACAATGAAAACAGGTCCCTAGTAGACTGGACTAACAATAGCATGAATGCTTGGGTAGAAGGACGGTCAGAGTTGAAGGGAGAGACAGAGATTCAAACTATCGTGGTTACTTTGGAAACTACGCTCACGGAAATACAAATGCTTAAAACCCCACTAACTGCTCATTCGGATTAGAAATACAACATGTATTTACGTGTAGCTGTCCTCGATAGTTGAGTTGATGATGTAGGACTCTGGTTTGCCCACAAGAGATCCCAATGTCCTTGGTAGAGTTTCTGGTCGTAGTGGTGGTTAGAATGGATACTTCAGCGTACCCTGTAGTTTGTAGAGTTGATCTGTTAGAATAGACACTTCAGATGTCAAATCAAATCAAATCAAATTTTATTGGTCACATGCGCCGAATACAACAGGTGCAGACATTACAGTGAAATGCTTACTTACAGCCCTTAACCAACAGTGCATTTATTTTTTACAAAAAAAGTAAAAATAAAACAACAACAAAAAAAGTGTTGATGTACCAGCGGTTGTCTGAGAGGATTGTCCTTCCCAACTCGTGTCTTTAGTGAAAGTTCTCTAGACGACTATACATGCCAGCTGCAGACTGAGTTTATAAGGTCTAGTGCATTTTCTTCTTCTTCACCTTGTGTAGAGATTGAGAGTTTGAGTTTCTCCATGTCAAACATGTGGACTAACGTCTCACGTTTTCTGGTCTTTCTGGTCGAACCATTTTGTAACGTGTACCTTCAGCTTCACGCTCCCTGGTCTGGTAGAAGTCCAACCATTTGCAACATCCGGCTTATACCGTAGTATGCTTGGTCTGTAGAGTTTCAACCATTTTAAGCCGTGGGGCTTCCTGGTCTGAGGTGAATTTCGACACGAGGGGTTTTATACTTGAGTAGAAAAGGGGGCGTTTCATCATGTTTGTGCTCATCTGGGTGTGGCCACTGACTGAGAACAAATCAATATGGAAACAATCATCTCATCTAGAATGCTAAAATCATATTGTTATCTTCCCCAAAGTATTATTATACTTAATAATTCGTTGTATACAACAATTTGATGCAAACCTCATAACTGGGAAGTGTACACCCCCAGAGATACAGTTATGTTGTTCCACCATTTTTAATGACATCCCAACATAGTAACGAATTTTACATGTTCTTTAAGTCGCCACCAACCATTTCCCACATTCTTTTAAGTAGGAATATTGTTTCATTATCCACTTTTGGATGTTGGAGTCTTGGTGGGAAGACTTCCTTTGTCTTACAGGGAAATTCCCTCTCCCAATACTGCATGGCATGGAAAATAAAGTTTCTGCAAGGACTTTACGACCGGTCATAAAACTGGCCCCTAGGAGAGGGGGTGTTCAAACCTTTGCCTAGCCTGCATCTTTGATCCTCAGCCCATGAGGGCAAGTCATGACACCGCCCTCTGTACGACAAATACATAATAATTGACACGTTTGTTTACAAAAATGCACATAAAGTTTCATATTCAAGAGAGAACACACCTCAAGGAAATTCCACACTCACCTTCCACTTTGTACACCTCACACTCAGTTAGCTGGAGGTTGTTAACATGAATTTCTGCAGCATTGAAGTTGTAGCAGTTACCTGGGTTGCTATACACTGTAGTGTTATTGTTTATTAAATACAAAGAATCCCCAAAATAAGGACCAGTGTTCATATTCATCTGAACCGCACGTGTGGCATCGGTGACAGGATACTTGATGGGATTTCTGTCATTAAAACGGAACAGAAAGGCTTTGTCATCCTGTATGAAGTGGCCATGCTTGGCTACATCATGATCTTTACTAGTGTAGCCTCTAAAGACAAACCCTGTGGAGTTGGATCCTACAGAGACTGTGGGACCTTGGTGGTCACATTTCTGGTGAAAGGCTGCTCTGGTGTAGCCATGGATACTGGCTTAGAACAGCAGGCTGAGTTTGACATTTCCCAGTAAGGAGCACAGCTGTTTCTCCTGGTTTTGGGTCAGTTTGGGGTTCATGGTGGGGATATGGATACCTTGGTCTCAGTAGAGGTAGTCTTGGGGTAGAAGAACACAAATGAGATGACAAATTCTGACAAAAGACCACCCAAATGCTTCATCTGGAGTTGTATTAAATCTGAAGAAGGCATTTATGTAGGGTTAGTGTCACGCCCTGGCTCTGGGGACTCTTAAATGTTGAGCCAGGGTGTGTAGTGTCTATGTTGTATTTTCTATGTTCATGATCTAGATCGTGTAGATCTATGTTGGCCAGGGTGGTTCCCAATCAGAGGCAGCTGATTCTCGTTGTCTCTGATTGGGGACCATACTTAGGCAGCCTGTTTGGCACTGTTTATTGTGGGATCTTGTTCCGTAAGGTTTGTTTTGGTGTTACCTAGGACTTCACGTATCGTTTGGTTTGTTGTTTTGTTCGTGTGTGTACTTCAATAAAAGATGTATGGTTATCACGCTGCGCCTTGGTCCGCTTCATCTAACAACGATCGTGACAGAAGATCCCACCATGACTGGATCAAGCAGCGTGACGAGGAGAGAGGATGGACTTGGGAGGAGATGAGTGAGAGTCTGGCAAGAGGGATGGAGGCCATGTTCACGGGGGAGAGACAAGCCCAAAAACATTTTAGGGGGGGGCTCACGCCGTGGACGACGAGGCAGCAGGAGGCCGCGATAGAGCGGTTCAGCCGGTTAGCAGAGGAGGCCGCTAGGTTACGGGGGCCACTGGTCACGAGGGAGAAGGAGAGTGTGGAGGCACGGCGAGAGGAACTGGTTAGGCAGCAGAGGGAGCGGAGGTTTATGAGGAAACCCAGTCCCGCTCCTCGCACCAAGCAAGGTCCGGCCCGTTCCTGATTCCCGCACAAGGCCAGTGGTGTGTGTTCCCAGTACGGTAAGGCCCGTTCCTGCTCCCCGCACCAAGACAGTGGTGCGCGTCGCCAGCCCGGTCCGGCCTGTTCCTGCTCCCCGCACCAAGCCAGTGGTGCGCGTCGTCAGCCCGGTCCGGCCCGTTCCTGCTCCCCGCACCAAGCCAGTGGTGCGCGTCGTCAGCCCGGTCCGGCCCGTTCCTGCTCCCCGCACCAAGCCAGTGGTGCGCGTCGCCAGTCCGGTCCGGCCCGTTCCTGCTCCCCGCACCAAGCCAGTGGTGCGCGTCGCCAGTCCGGTCCGGCCCGTTCCTGCTCCCCGCACAAAGCCAGTGGTGCTCGTCGTCAGCCCGGTCCGGCCCGTTCCTACTCCCCGCACCAAGCCAGTGGTGCGCGTCGTCAGTCCGGCACGGTCCGTGCCTGTTCCACCGGTGCCTGGTTCGGCACCGGTCAGCTGCTCCACACCGGAGCCAGAGCAATCCGCTCCACCGATGTCCAGTCCAGCTCCGGCCAGCGGGACCAGACCAGGGGCGCTACGGGGGGGTAGAGAGAGTGGTGGTCACGCCCGGAGCCGGATCCGCCTCCGAGGCGGAATGCCCACCCGGCCCCTACCCTCTTGTGTTTGGTTGGCGCGGTCGCAGTCCGCGCCTTTGGGGGGGGGGGGGGGGGTACTGTCACGCCCTGGCTCTGGGGACTCTTAAATGTTGAGCCAGGGTGTGTAGTGTCTATGTTGTATTTTCTATGTTCATGATCTAGATCGTGTAGATCTATGTTGGCCAGGGTGGTTCCCAATCAGAGGCAGCTGATTCTCGTTGTCTCTGATTGGGGACCATACTTAGGCAGCCTGTTTGGCACTGTTTATTGTGGGTTCTTGTTCCGTAAGGTTTGTTTTGGTGTTACCTAGGACTTCACGTATCGTTTGGTTTGTTGTTTTGTTCGTGTGTGTACTTCAATAAAATATGTACGGTTATCACGCTGCGCCTTGGTCCGCTTCATCTAACAACGATCGTGACAGTTAGGCTATACCAAGGCGTAAGAACAGTTTCCCTGATTAGTTTATTAAATACATAGTTTTGTATGACTTAAATGCTCTTTAAAAAAACTATATCGGAGTTGTCCCTGTAGAAATTCGAGACGGACAATGCATGTTCATGAGGCTAGCATAGCATTTCACTCTATTGAATACAGGCGGTTGACGTCAACCCCCCTCATCGAATATTCAAAAAAGTATTCAAATAACGAGTCCAAAGACAGGAAGAGGAGGGAGCTTGATAGCCCGCCATTACGCTCTGTGGACAACAAATCCCATTATTAGGGCGGAGACACAAGCATTTAGTCATTGGGTGTGTTCCAGTGGTAAGCCTAATGAAGCCGACTGTAGACTAAAGTCGGCGAGTGAAGTCAGGGAAGATGCATCTGCGAAAGCCGAAAGTCGGACAATGTAGTGGTTTTCCAACAGCAATCCTCAGATCAACATGGCAGTGTCAACATAGCTGCTATTGTTTATTAAAGATTTTCTGTATAAATGTCAAAATAAACTTTTCTATACCCCCATATCACACACTCACAAACTGAAAACATATTGTGTGTACAATTAATTGGTTAGAGAGAGGTATCACTTTCATTTGTTTCACCTGTAACTTTAGAATCGCTGCAAAGTTGGTTCCTGTTTTAGTCACGTCTTTGGCCACGCTCACGTGGGTCAAACAAAAACACCCTAAAGATTGTTTGCCAAATAGTGCCTCCCACAATGCAGGTGATGGCTGCATGGTGCAGTTGGTGAGAAGTAACTACAGCGACTTGAAGGCGACTTCATCAAAAACTGCATGATCTTTGAACACATTATTATTGTAAAGTTCATGCAGTTGACATGTAGTCGCGTGTCAAACAGTTGTTATACCCATAATGCCTTGTGGCCAGCACTAGCAGGTTAAATGAACGACTAAAATGAACGAGACACTCAGAAAAACAAATCATGACTCTCAAGTCAGTAAAAATAATCATTCAAGAAGAATGAATCTTCACAGTAGCAAGATCTGATACCAAATCTGGCACACAGAGAAAAGACAGCATTGTGCAAAATGTTTCAAAGAGACTAATTGTGTTGGCAGGCATGCTGCGTATTTTCTAAAATAATTTTCAAAGCACATAGGCAGTTTACTCTAGGCTCAAACTGCCCTAAATGTGGATTTTCCAAATGAACAGGATACAATTTAATAATAGTCAAACTAGCTAGCTAAGACTTAAAGGATGCAACACTCACCTGACAATAGTTCTTCGCTCTTGAGCCGGTGTCGCGTACGGAATGTCTGTCAGTGGTGAATGATGGACAAGCAAGCGAACTGAATGGCAAAAAAGATCACCTTTCAACCTGGACTCTTGCTAATCTGGACTCTCTCTTAGTTTGACAAATTTCAGAATAAGAGTTTTAGTGATAATAATTAAACTAAGGTTACACTTCCAATATGCTTTCTGGTGTTGTTCTTGAAGCCCTCCTGTCTTAGGCATGTTTCTATTTTTATTATTTTATCACTACAGAAAAAAACTGAAGTCCCATATTATAGTAATCGGGGTTGACTTTCGTCACATTCCCTCCTCCTGGCAATACATCTGATGGATATGATGTACAGTATAAAGGCTTCATATGAGCCATTCAAAAGTTCATAAGCACTACATAAATGCTTGACAAAACAAAATAATGTTATACTACACTGAGTGTACGAAACATTAGGAACAACTTCCTAATATTGAGTTGCACCACCTTTTGCCCCCAGAACAGCCTTCATTCGTCAGGGCATGGACTCTACAAGGTGTTGAAAGTGTTCCACGGGGATGATGGCCCATGTTGACTTCAATGCTTCCCACAGTTGTGTCAAGTTGGCTGGATAACCTTTAGGTGGTGGACAATTCTTGATACACACGGGAAACTGTTGAGCATGAAAAACCCAGCAGCGTTGTAGTTCTTGACACACTCAAACCGGTGCACCTGGCACCTACTACCATACCCCGTTCAAAGGCACTTAAATATTTTGTCTTGCTCATTCACCCTCTGTATGGCACACATAGACAATCCATGTCTCAATTGTCTCAAGGCTAAAAAATCCTTCTTTAACCTGTCTCCTCCCCTTCATCTACACTGATAGAAGTGGATTTAACAAGTGACATCAAAAAGGGATCATAGCTTTCACCTGGATTCACTTGGTCAGTCTATGTAATGGAAAGAGCTGATGTTCTTAATGTTTTGAACACTCAGTGTACATCAAGTGTAATATAAGGTTATTATATCTGGTGCTTTGCCAAATGTGGCATAAACCCTTTACCATCCATTTATTTGCTTCTGAATGATTTCTGAAGCATCTGTTATGCATTAAAAAGGGTTTATTAGGGCTTAAAAGTTGTAGTTCATTTAAAGTCAGACCAGAAATATAGAAAAATATATCTTGTTCCTTGTCTTCCTATCATTCAACTTTTTTTTTGTACAGAAGGTCACATGTTTTTGAGGGAAAAACTAAGGGGACTTGACAGACATGCAAACCAATATTTAATTTCCGAAATTGTTAAAATTAGGTTAAAGCTAGAATTGAAACAATAACAAAACCAGACACCCCGCCTCTGTTTTGGTAAAAAAAAAAAAAGTGTTTAGAATCAGAATCACATTTACTTGGCAAATACATTTGCATGCACAGGAATTTGACTCTGTGAAAGAGTCCTGCCACAATAAACAGAATTTACAGACAGACAATAAACTGAATATACGGACAAGGTAACACCGCCCTTTCAGTACGTGTTACTCATCAACTCTACCTCGTTTTTCTACAGATGGAGGATATCAGACAGGCTTTGGTCATGGAGTCCTCTAACTGAAAGACAGGTTGATACTGATGTCTGAATTGGGACCTTGTACTCAGCATTAAAATTATACAAGACACATCTATTACTTTTTATTGTCTTTTGTTATTATTGAATCTAATGGTACTATCAATTGAGGGGGGGGGGGGGGGGGGGGGGGGGGATATGGGACACCATACAGGAAGGTATGACAACTTAAATGTTTGGCAAGGTAGCCCCAGCACCCCCAGACAACATGTTGATAGGTACCGTATCTGTATCGGCTGTGAACGACAATAGAAGATGAAAGACAAGTGTAAT